GTGCTTTTGTGCATCAGTTAATTGATATGTTTAAATGTTCCATGTTACAGATATTTATGAAGTTATAATAAAGAAAATTTTTGTCTAGTACCGTCTATTTTTACCTTGGCTATTCTTTGATAAAATGACCTGTACTCTGTTTTGTATTTCATCATCAATGTGGCATTAGGCAGGACACTTGCTTTACATCTCTAGGATTGTTCCCACAAGCAAAATTTATTACAGGTATCAAAAAAATATTCATCCTATGTACAAAAAGTGGCTGTTTTATTGGCACTGATCTAATATATCAGACTGACTTGCAGTCTCTTTCCCATTCATATTTGTTGAATATGAAGCCAGCAGGGACTATTAGATTATATAGTCTGACTTTCTATCACAGGCCAATAAATCTTAGCCAGTTACTCTGGTATAGAGACTTGTAACCTGTGTTTGGCCAATATACATCATGCAGTCTTAATCTGAAGAGATGGAAGCATGTTGGTGGGCTAGAATAGTTAATCACCTTCACAGTTAAAAACATGGGTCTGCCTTCCCATTTGGATTTATCTTGCTTCAGGTTCCAGCCATTGGCTTCTTTGGGTTTGTTGGGGTGGGGGGGTTGCCTTTCCTGCTAGATTGAAAAGGGCTTTAATATCTGCATTCTATCCCCAGGCTTATACATTATAACCATGTCACCCCTCAAGCTTCTTCAGCATTGATAAGCTAAACAGGTGGGGCTCATTACATTGCTCACTGTTGAGCATTTCTTTTCTAGAGTTCTCAACACAGTTTTAATGACCATTTTCGTAGCTGTTTCCAATATTTCAATATCCTTTTAAAATGCAGAAATAAGTTTAAGCAGAAACAAATGCTACAGATACTGGTGGTTATGATTAATGAGGTTCAGTCTACACTGCACTACAAAGCTGCATATGCTGTGTCAGCTCTGAGATGTCAGAAGATCATACCTATAGCCGACGTAGTTATGCCAGCAAAGTCCCTGCCCTACTGCCCCCATGACGCCTGGAGGCAACTATGCAGAAAGAAGACAGTTTCTGGTAGCTTAGCTACTCTCATTCCCAGAGGTAGTATGGTTGGTTACATGCACCACCAAGAAAATCCCCGTCTACTGTGACACAGCTCATCTTCACTGCAGGGCACTGCCACTGTACCTACACTACAGCAGCAAGAGCCACATAATGTTGACCAGCCCTGAGAAACCTGGGCTGCTCTTTAACAAAATGAGACCAACCATATGACTGTAAATCTCCTTTACTCAGTGAATCAATGATAATAAGAAACAGTCTGTCTAACCTTTGTCTTTCCTGGAAAATAATTCTTCCAAAATACCAAAGAAACATTTTGCATTTCTGTGCTGAGCAGACAAGTGGTTCCAGTGAGATGGGTATTACTCTATTTTACAGGTAAACCAAGGCATACTGTAGTTAAGTAACCTTGCCCACAGCACATAGTTGGAGCAAGAAAAAAAAAAATCAATGCCAACTGCAACTAAGATGTGGAGAGAGGTGGGCATGCTAGAAGGGACGGACAGGCTACAACAAGATCTGGACAGGTTACAGGGGTGGGCAGATGCGAATAGGATGGGATTCAATAGTGACAAGTGCAGGGTATTGCACCTAGGGAGAAAGAACCGCAGCATACTTATGGGCTGGGGAACTCCCTTCTTGTCAGCACAGAGGCAGAAAGGGATCTTGAAGTCTTTATCGATTCCAAAATGAACATGGGCCGCCAATGTGAGGACACGGTCAGTGAGGCTAACCGCACCTTGTCAAGCATCCACAGATGCATCACAAGCAGGTGCAAAGAGGTGATCCTCCCCCTCTATGCAACACTGGTCAGGCCGCAGTTGGAGTACTGTGTCCAGTTCTGGGCATCGCACTTCAAGAGGGATGTAGACAGCACTGAGAGGGTCCAGAGGAGGGCCACTTGCATGATCAGGGGGCAGCAGGGCAGGCCCTATGAGCAGAGGCTATGGGACCTGACCTGTTCAGCCTCTGCAAGAGAAGGCTGAGTGGCAATCTGGTGGTCGTCTATAAACTTACCAGGGGGGACCAGCGGGGAATGGGAGAGGCCCTGTTCCCCTGAGCACTACCCAGAGTAGCTAGGAATAACAGCCACAAGTTGATGGAGAGTAGATTCAGGCTAGACATCAGGAAGCACTACTTCACAGTCAGGGCGGCTAGGATCTGGAACCAACTTCCAAGGGAAGTGGTGCTGGCTCCTACCTTGGGGGTCTTCAGAAGAAGGCTAGATAATCACCTTGCCAGGGTCATTTGACCTCAGCATCCTTTCCTGCCCATGGCAGGGGGTCAGACTTGATGATCGGCTCAGGTCCTTTCCGACCCTATCAACTATGAAACTATGCAAGCTATTACTGCAATCAGTGCATTAATAGGATCCCAAACTGTGGCCCTCCAAAATCATGAGACATGGCTTTTTATCGCATGGAGCTCCCACATGGCTCCCACCCCAGTGCCACCCCCAACTTGGTGGTGAAGGTAGACACTACTTCCTTCCCTTCCAGCAGTAGTATGGTGGCGCTCTCTCTCCTTTTGGATGGGTAACAGTACTTCAGCAATAAGATTGCGAGCAGGCCAAAGCTGCACACTCCTGCTATACAAAGCCCTCTGATGGGTCAAGTTAGCAGAAACCCTCCAGAACAGTAGGATCTGAAAGCTGATGCCCTCATTGAGATAGATTCATTCACACACCTCAGTTGTTTCAGGCTCTCTGCAAACTTGGGCAGGCACTGGTGATCACTCAGGCATTGGTTATGTTCAGGTCACATTTTTGAGCTTCTCCCCTTCCCAAATGAGGTTTAAAGATTTACTTTGGAAAAAAAAAATGAGATGCTGAAACTCCAGCATCCAGGACACTAGGCATGAGCCTGTAGTCCCCAGGCCTTAATCCAGCGATGCCAGACAAACACAAAATAAGACGCATGCAGCTGAATTCTGAACAGAGCTGAATGGAAGCCAGCAGTTAGTGAAGGAGAACAGTACAATGTTATTGTATATATGGAGAACAGTACAATGCTATTGATCTTTATAAAATATTCCAAATGAGTTGTCACAGCCCAGGGAGACTCCATCAAGTGGGCATTGACCAGGCTGCTGGTTTTGGTCTTGCCCCACAGGGTCTATCTGCTTTTAAACTCCCTGTTGTTCTGAGTAAGCCTTTTTGATACCCAAGCTGGACCCTACCATGGAAATGCGAACTTGCAGCTCCATTATTGTAGATGTCTAGGACCAGTTCTGAGCTCTTCTCAGTAGCTTATGCACACACCTTCTTAGACCTCCCGCCTTGTGAGTGTTCTGCCTTTACAGCCCAGCTTTTCAAGGACACTTGACAGTGGACGCCAGTGGACACACAGGCTTTGCAAGGATTTCAAAACAGTCCCTCTTTACTTTAGCTGGCACAAGAAACACAGGGACCAAGTCAAAATAATGAATGCCTTCATGCATTTCCCTGCCTCAGTCTTCTCACCACACTGCAGCAATCCCTGGGATTAAGTCCGAGTTTTCTAGGACATCCAGCATCTCCCTCTTGCAGGTCATATCTTCACCTCTGAATCATGAAAGCTGGCTCATTTATGCAGCCTACTTGCTTCTGCTGCTTCTCTTTTTCTCTCTCAAATTATTGTTGAGAGACTCTTTCTATTCAAAACTTCGAGTCTCCTTCATCAGGTAACTCTCTGATCAGCCTCCTCAGGTGACCAGCATACTCCATCGGGTAATGTTTGCTTAAGTACCTCTCCCCAGAGTTCAGGCTTGGAAAAAATGGTTTATCCTGCAAACACTGTCAAAGAAGGCTTTGGTTTTCTTCCAGGGAGCGATGGACATTCATCCCAGCCTGGAAAAAAGAGACAACCAAGGGAAGAGAGGGCCCTTTCAAAGTGGAATTTGCCAGTTGGCCTAAATCTTGGGCACACGCCGAATTCATAAACTGGACAGTCACACCTGGTATGCACTAATTTATCAGGAGAGTAATAAAACAAGGCAAGCTGGAACATGAAACCTGAATAAAGGATAAACTTGGGTGGGGTGAGACTGCAAAGTGACACAGATATCGGTTACCCTTGTGGGTAGAAAGCAGAAACCATAATGACGCTCGGGGGGGGGGGGGGGGGAGGGGGTTTTTTTTTTTTTCCGGGGGAAAACCCACTCTC